TTCTTTACACAGAAGCTCGTCAGGGCTTCCCCATTCTCATTGCACTCGAAGTTGTTAGTATAGCACTTATTTCGACCATAACCTGTAGGTTGTAGATGTTTCACAAGCGTGGTAGTTGAATTGAAATCCCCCAGAAAAAGCCTTTCGGTCTTTGTAGTTTCCAAATCCACCTCTTTTTGCAAGCGTCTCCAAAACTCAGATCTTTGCGTTTCATTACCAGGTGTTGTTGGACAGTTCGTTGGTGCATATAGACAATAAACTCTTATATTCAATCCTACAAATTGCAAGTCAATCCACGTCATACGAGGGCTGATTTGAGAAATCTGTAGCACTTTTATTTTACTGTCACGTTTAACAGCAATGGCAACTCCGTGTAGTCATTTTCTGTCATGCCCACTCCAATAGATGTCCCATGTGGTCCCACATTCAGTTGTTACGGTCCGACTATCTTTTCCTCTTCGTCTGAATTCCGTAAGAGCTAAAAGGCTTATTTTCTTTTTTGATGCCAGTTCTAATATGCTATCAGGACGATCTTCAAACTTATCAGAGCATGATTGGACATTCAAGGTCATCGAACGCCAGTTTGCAAATTTTATGTTTGTTGACGTCTTTGTAGATACGTCAGTAGTTGAACCAGTTATTACTTGTTGGATGTCATCAGGGTGCTGAATAGTGGCGTCTTCCCTGATTGCAATTGTTTGTTTACAAGATATATGTTCTACATCTACTTCGGAAGAGTCGTCAATCAATGTAATTATATTATCTTTGTTCACTGTTCTTTGTTTAGCATAATTATGGGCTAAACGATGCGTAACAACCGTTTCAATATTATTTCTACGAAGAAATTCCCTTTCTTTAACCTTCTTTCCTGATCGTTTCCCTCGAAAACCATTGAAACTGTTGTACTGTGGAAAGTCTTCATGGTAGACGTAGTATCCATGGCCAAATGTATAACGTGAACTTGAATTTGACGAAGTATAAGCTGTTCCATAGTTGTAGCAGTTTGTGAAGTCAGGCATGATGTATTCCGCCTCGATAAAAATCCACTAATTTTGACTTTCCCGACGAGAATCGAGACTTAAAGTCCAGTAAAATAGTAATAAATGGATTTAGGAAAATAAAAACTTAAATAATAAATGAATATGTACACTTAAAAGCCAGTTTTAAACCAAAAATGTAAGAGACAATAAAAGTGCAGCCGACACGGTTGGCACTTACAAAGTCCTTGTTTGAATAGTAACCAAGTAACAATTTGCACAAATTTTTAAAATGCTTGTCAGTGAGTATTTTCCATCCAAGTACATGTACTCTCAAAATCATGCATGTACTATGCTCTTTATTGAATATCTTGATTGTTTCAAACTGCATCAGACCCTTTTTAAGTTTTGGAATGGCTAACAGGACTACAATGGTTATAGAGTACAAACACTAAAAGCGTGCAAGCTTTTCCACTATTTACTGCAAAATAGTGCTAATTAAACAATAGAAAACAATAGAATTAGCATAATTTAACAGTATTTWGTGGTATTTATGTATTTTAGTGTTTGTACTCTAAGTAATACATTTATAATATCGCTTGAAACTTTCTTTTTGGTTGATTTAGGCATACTTCCCAAGTAATTTTGTTGGAAATAAACTTCAAACTCCAGTTAAAAACCAGGATTAAAAATGAAATATCATAACAAAACAACAAAATGCACAACTGAAGCATCTTTTTTAGTTATATTGTGAATAAAATGAAAACATTAGGTACAATACTTTTTTGACAATCATTCATTAAAAATTAGCATAGTGCTTCATTTTAAAATCGAGAAGAATCTTTATCACTGCAATCCAGTGCAACATAATTATAAATGTTATTGTATTATTATTTATCACTGCAATCCAGTGCAACATAATTATAAATGTTATTGTATATACAAATAAACAAAATTGTATAATATGACAACAAATACAATTATGTTCAATACATAATYACCCTATTCAATGAAAACTGTATCATGTGAGGGGAAAGTGCATAATGCAATAACAGTTTTCWGGTGCTTTACTGTTTGCATGATGTTTATTCTTKTCCACTGTTACCAGAATGCTAGACATTCATTTCTGATTTCAAAASTAACCATCAATAACWATAAGTAAACAATAATAATTTKTAAAGTTCATTTGCYATTGGCTATCACAATGAATAATGCTAGGCATACTCTGATATCGAAATAAACTATAACTGTTCAGAAAGTTAGTGTTTATGAATTCATATACTATTAATCCTGACAATCTGGTATCATAGTATACAAACATGACAATGTAGCTATTTTCTACATGTATGTAAGGAATCGAGATGCAACTTTTAACTGTGATAATTCAGCTTTGATAGTTTAAAATATATGGAATCCATAGTTAAATCATGTGCTCGTACTTATTTTTTTGCACTTATTTTTTTATTTTTTTGGCTTTTATTTGTCTTTTACTTCTTTTCACACCCTTTGTGTTATGGCCCTCTTTCTTCTCTTCCTCCTGTCCTCTCTCTTCCTCCTGTCTTCTCTCTTCCTCCTGTCTTCTCTCTTCCTCCTGTCTTCTCTCTTCCTCCTGTCTTCTCTCTTCCTCCTGTCTTCTCTCTTCCTCCTTCCTTTTCTCTTCCTCCTTCCTTTTCTCTTCCTCCTTCCTTCTCTCTTCCTCCTTCCTCCTCTCCTCCTCATTTCTTCTCTCTTCCTCCTCCCTTCCCTTTTTCCTCTTTCTGCTCTCTTCTCTATTCCTTCTTTCATCATTCTTCCTTCTCTCTTCCTCTTTTCTTTCTTCCTCCTTTCCTCTTTCTTTTTCCTTTCTTCTCTGTTCCTCCCTTCTCTTTTTCTCCTCCATTCTCTGATTGTCCTCATCTGTGCTTTCATCTTCTTGTGTTTCCTCTTCACTTATCAGTACTTCCTCCTCCATTGATTTTTCCCTGTCAATTCTCATTTTCTTGAGCACTTTGATTTCATATTTCAGGTTTTTGATCACTTCTTTATAACCTGCACAGGATTTGCATTGGATATCCTCTACTGCATCTGGTTTGTTGTCTGCTTGAGGTCTCAGCCCTAACATAAAGACAGCATGACAATATTATCAAACAATAAAACAAACATATTTGTAGCTGCAATCTATAAGTATTACTTAAAAATCACAAATAAACATGYATTGTTTAAGTTGAATTCAATCAGTGGAAAAACTCACATCCATCGATAACTCCAAGTTGCTCATCCYGCACCGCATTCCTCGGAATTTTTACGGAAAGCTCCCTATGTCCAGTTGATGTGAAGTCTGTTCTGAAATCAGGGCTGGCCCCATCGATGGGAGTCAAAATTTCCCTCAGTGTTGAAGCTGCATAAGGTGTTCCAGCAGAGTTGAGAAGACTTTGCAATGTGCTCTTCTTTATGTGGATGGCTGCTTGACCCTGGGATCCCCGCTGTGTCACCGATGGTTTTAAAAACTCATCAACCTGGTATAGTGGAAAAGCAAACAATTAACATCATATATTAATGGTTTATTTCATTTTTCTAAGCACATAAATTACCTTTTCTATAGACTTTGATTTCTCAACTGAGGCAATGAAATCAGCGATGAGCCGATCAAGTGATACTTCTTGTACCCTTGTGGTGCTTGTATATTGGCTTATAACATGAGGCAGGAGATTCTCTAGAAGATACTTATCAAACTGTTCTTTGGATATCACCTCATCATCAAAAACCAAGCTAATAACCTATACGAATACAATGAAAGATCAATTACAATTGTTTATAAACAAAAATGAGCCATAGAGACATACAGTACATGTTTATTCAACCTGAAAAACAAATGAACTGAAACAAGATATGTTTGGCTTTTATATTTTGAAATAAATCAATAGCATCATTGTTACCTCAAAGGCAAAATATCTSAACGAACTGTAAATACTTGGAAGACGGCTTGGAAGCCCAGCTAGAGAATTTCTAAAAAATTCAGTATGAGGCTGTAGATTTGCCTCATCAAGACCAACACCCATCCTTATAACAGATGGCAAACAAGAAGTATTTGCCAGAGCACTGATTGCTTTTCTTTTTTCCAGGAAGGAGTCTTTGTCACCTGTTGTAATCAGCCTTGAGAAGTTGATAGGGATGGTGCGTTCAAAAGACCTAATAAAATGAATTATAATAATTACCAGAAGGATAATTCTTGGTTTGCACTAATCACGTGACATTCTAAAAGTGCTATTTAGAGGCCAAATTAGCGAAATGTTATTATTGTCCTCGATAGAACATCTAGTTTAAAGTATCATTACGAAATTTTAAGTTTTTAAGCCAAAATAATGCTTTTTAACAGAAATACGAGCGATCGAAAATTGGTAAGAATGTATGGGATTATCACGGCTCAATGCGTTTTAGACAGGTCAAGATTAATACCTACAAAAGACTTTGTTTTAAGATCGAAATGATTTTTTTATGTTCAAGACCAAAAACAGCATATAATTACCAACAGTTATGCAAAATTTGAAGTCAAACTGCCATTTTGTAGCAAAAATATAAGCGTTTGAATGCGGTCTAACTTTACAAGGGAATGTATGGGAAAGCCCTAATGGTGTWCAAGTCCAGTACACCAACYATGCRGACAGTAACTCCGAGTGTCGAAATGAGCTCAAAACTAATGTTTTTGCTTCAGTTTTCCAACAGTATCATTCTAAAAATTCAATTTAATGCTGAGGCTATACTTGTTTTAAGATTAATAGTCTTTCCGAGCTTAATTTGGCGTGTTTCAAGTCGCGTGACAGTATTGCGTGACATATTTTTGAACGTGAATAACTCAACGAATAAACAGCAAAAAAACTTGAAACTTTCAGAAAGAACTTCCATCATGCTCTTCAAGGTATTTTAGTACTGTAATGTTGTGTGTCTGTGATTTTAGAATTTTCTTCGACTGATGACGTCATGTACAAACCGAGAATTATAGATTGCACGAATAACATTTCATGGTCACATTTTAATGAATATTTTTAATCATGTGCATGGTTCTTATTTTACATAAACTCACTAGAAAGGAAATTAATAGAAGTTCAATTCTTTCACTTCACTAAACAATTTTGTCTTTTAGTTATTTTCAATTTCTTTACCTTAGATCTTCATTTAATGAAAAGTTGACTGTGGTCAGGAATGTTGTTATTGGAATATTTCACTGCCTCTGCCTTTTGTCTGTTTCCCTGCCCCCTGGAAAGATGCCAAAAGGGCTTTTTCAAGAAGATGTGGTTTGGCTGGATCATCCCAGTAGACCGGGAAGGAGCTTTTCACAAGCTCGGATATTATCGAGTCATTTGTAGACTGGCACATAAAAGATCCACCAAGAAGCTGATGGATCAGTTTTAGGGCTGTGGTTTTCCCACTAGCAGTTTCACCTACAGCCATTGGTGCAGGACATGAACCTGAAAGTTCAGATATAACATTATGTCACAACCTAAAATCTAATAAGGTGTTTTGTGGAAAAGGCATAAAATAAAAAAATTATTGGTTGCAAGTCATCATGCAAAATATTTCATAGAGTGCAAGTCACATAAGCATGAAACCATTCTTAACTATGTAGTGCTAAATAAGATTTAGTTATCAACTAACTAAGAATTGAGAACAATGCTACAAAGGAATTGAAATAATTGGCATTGTGTTTATGCTTTGTTGAATTCTTAGCTAGTTGATAACTAAATCTTATTTAGCAATACATATTAAGAATTGTTTCATGCTTATGTGACGTGCACTCTACTGCAATTCAACGAGTTCTACTAACTATGATTCTAGACTGATTCCATAAGTCGTAGTAATTCGCTCCTCCAGGGTACCGACTTATGGAATCAGTCTACTATGATTCGTTCCGATTTATTAATTCCACATGATCATAATAAACTCACCTTTAATGAAAGTAACTGCTTGTAGTGAAAAGCAGCCAGTCCTCCAGCAAGGAGTGTCACAAATGGGTAGAAATTGTCTACCATAAACTCTTTAGCCGACTTAATGAGGGCATGCCAATTGAACTCTACCAGCGGTATTTGGATAGTGATTTCATGCATATACTGGTTGAAGTCCATCGACTTTGGCCCAGTGCCTATGAGATATGGGACCATCCATATATAGAGTTGGTCTTCTTCGTCAAGGAGAGACCCAAACCTTGAAAGCTGCAAATAAGTAAGTTATGTATATTATTATTTGTCAAATATAGTTAACAACCACGTTGTACTCGTTGTCAGGACTAGTCACCGAACCCAACCGAGAGGGCAGATTTTTAAACATGAAAGATAATCTTTTTAATTCCCAAAAAAATATTTCGAAAATATTTTCGCGAGATATTTAGGGAAACGCATTTTATCGAAAAATAAATAATACTGCAAACGTGTTGTAATCCTTAAATTGCGTGACCGTTGACCATTTCGAGCCCGATGCTTGTGCTCTCGGCTTGTTCCTTTTTTTGTCGTCTGTTTCCTCTCTCAAGCTGATTTGAGCATATTTTATTTGGGTGTATTTTAACATGTAAAATAACCATTCTAAGCTTTCCGCGAAATTAGATCTGCCGAGAAATAAAGAACATTTCCAGCCACACCAGGTGAGCCGTTTTTTCTAATTGGCTAGTTGATGACCTTTGTTGACCGCGTTACAAGCTAACATCCCTCCCTCATGAATAGCATTATGCATAATAACATGAGGGAAGATTAAAGTTATCTGCCCTCGGCTTCGGGGACATTTAATCCCTAACCTCCCTCAGAGCCATGCTATTACTTATAATATCAACCGAAAATTGCATTCCACGATACAAATGTGATTTTAAAATTTCTAAACTAAAGTGAAATATTGAAAAGCGCTCACACGGTTGACAGTATCAATATACCGAATCTTGCGAACAAGGGTATCCATTTTTATTTCAGAGCATTCTAACACGTTTCGAATAAAGAATATTGTTATGTCAATTACATAGACATATTGTCCGATTATTTACTAGCTTTCATACAACGCTCCAGTGATTCTTCGATTCAACGAAGAGAAAAAAGACTATACTAGTTATAGGTTTGCTTCATTCAAAACATTAAGTTTTCGAATTCCTTTATAGTCCGAAATAAAGAATTTTTGTCCATAAATGAAGCGAACTAGCGCTGCCAACTTAAAAATGACAATGTGCGATTGTCTCATTTTTAACCAATCACGAATCAAAAAATAGCATAAACCAGAGTCTTTCACAAATTGACATCCGCTGATTATTAAATGCGGTATAGGACAAAATCCATCCCCTCGTGGGCGGGCTTTCGTGTAGGCAACTCTATCTCCATAATGTAAATGTAATGTAAATGAATCATTATTACCTGAACGTTTCTATTGATTATATAGTTTCCGTCTGCTTGAACCCCTAGAGTTATACACGCCTTCTTCCAGTTCTGTTGGGCTGGCGGCTTTGACAGCCACGCCTCCAGTTCTTTCATCCAGAACTCGTTCAGTTGGTCGTCTGACACATGCCGCCAAAAGACACCCCCCTTCGCAGAAAATATTCGGTTAATGGCCGACCTGAACGACTTCTGGGCGCTCATCTCCTCGCAAGTAACGAAACATCTCCTTGAAAAATTGAAAAAAAAAAACAAATATAAAATTTGTTTGGATAGCCTGGATGTTTGACAGGAATGCTCTTTGACTAGGAAACTTATAATGTAACTTAGTAATGTATGCAATTTGAATTGAGACACACTGTGTTATCTGCGTTCTGGCTAAGGCGAAACAAAGCATCCCCGGATCATGTCCAATATTATCATTTCAGTACTAAGACGTACTTCCGACAATCAGAGTTTTTCCTCAGAGGAACACAGGAACGCATGCTGTGCTATTTGCGTTTTATTTGTGGTCCCAAATCAAACGTGGATAACGTTCATCATAGTTAATAGAGAGGACAGTCCTCTCTATTAACTATGCGTTCATCAAACATATTGAAATTTTTTGAATAATTTGTATCATTTTATAAAAGATAATTTATTGGAATGTACTTGGATCATGTATAATTTAGTGAGTTCACAGCTCCTTTTTCCTTAGCGTCAGCGCAATCTGCTACTATTCATGCAATACTATGGTCCTTGCCTTTTGGAACACTATGGATGCGCAATAGCTAGCTGTAAACCCTTAAAAACTCTGATCAAATGCAGGTCATTCTCAACGTGAGCGGTACCTCTGGGCGGTTCAGGGCTAGTGTAACTGCAACTAAAATTTACAATGAACTAAAGAAATTTCAAAGTTCAACCTTTACACTGTAACATGCCATAAAACTGCGGAATATATTTGTATACCCCAAATAGGCATTTGGTGATTGATCTGCGATATTATTTTATAGTAACTAATGATAAATGTTAGCCGTCAGAATGTTTGGAAATAACTGTAATAATAAATTTATTATTGAAGTCTGTGCTTATATGATATGAACAATTTACTTACATCATTTCCCCGTCGCTTCTATTCACGTTTAACAGATATCCATTAAAATGATGGAGCTCTTGTGGGAACGCTACAAACCCAACAATTGAAAAGTAAAAATTTGCGACAGATTTGTAATTCTTGTCCCCCCGTTTCTCATGAAGAGATCGTTTACCATCGCCGTCCTCTCGGACGGAAAGCGATTTCAGTGGTGATGTCTTGGACATCCTGGCTTGTGACCAGTAAAAAGCAAAATGGCGAAGAGAACTTTACAAGAGCACAGCTGTTGTCATGTACGTGACACAACTTTGTTTAAAATGGTATCGTTGTACTCGAATCCAGCGCAAAAAATATGACGTAAGTGTGAATTTTTACAT